AGCATTTTTCGTATATCTCGAGAAGGAAAGCATATTTTTCGGAAAAAAGATTTAGAACCTGAGATAAAGTCTGAAGTCTAAAGTATCTGTAGTAAAAATTTGAGCTCGATCGAACCATTTTTTCGAAGGGTCGTAATGTGACTGGATGAAAACCGGAGTTTTCCAGAAAACCCATATAAGAACATCTCAGAAAAGTCGGGGCAAAAATACATCAATTTTCTTTTTCGATGTTCTATCTCTGATATAAATTTGAGCTCAATCGGATATGTGCTCCGCATTTGGCAATAAGGTGAAAAAAGAGGGGAGGCAGGTACCCGTAAAATATCGATAAATATTACATGGTTGTGAGAATCCTTCGGTCTGTTTGTAATGTTATTATCGTATTTTCTGACAAGAATATTGATTTAAATAGTATTCTCTAAGTGGTATGGAAGCCGAACAAGACAATAGTAGATTTTTGAAACAACTGGTATTTCGACTGTAAAATCCACAATCTTATAAGGCTACTACCTTCAACGATAAAGTTTTTAAAAACTTTCTCTCGATCCTGCCTCAAAAGCATATCGTCAGACGCAGGTTTTTACGAAAGAGAGTTAAATTCTCTACAAAATGCACCATTGTTTTTGAACATTAGACAGACATTTGGAACAACATTTTTAGAACGGCCAAGTTTTGCTCACTTGTGTAACAAAATTTTCGATGCCTTAATGCTATTCTCAACCCTTTTTACGGTTCATAGCGAAAAAAAAAGTATTCATGTCTCAACATTACGTGAGTAAAACGAAGTTTTTCCTCCGAGAGAATTTATCTTTTAAGAATTTTACTTTTTACCAAAACATAGCTCAAAACTGCCCTCTACAAATCGTATTTAATTGTTTTCTAAAAAAATAACACTTCAAAGAAGCACTCACTCACAGTAGTAGACAGAGATCTATGATTTCGGAGATTGGAAAACTTCACGATAAAAACGTGACACTAGCTTTTTATGATGAAAAGTAGACAACAAACGATTGTACGCTGATTATTTTACCGTAGATGTTGACCGCAAATAATTACAAATAAATTAAGTTTTTAAGTAGCTTCCGTTGGGAGAAACGTGGAAAACCATGAGAAAATAACATCGCAGCGTTACATTTGCATTAGCCGTGTGATTAATAGTGTGCTTAGTTAGAGAATTATGCAGTTGGTTGGACAAATAAATATATGGTTTTTGTGCTTAGAATATACTTAATTATACGATAATATTCTACGTTTCATACTGTGCAATAACTCTTCCGTGAATAAGACTCTCAGATATAGCTTTTGACATGAGATAGATGCATTAGATCGTAACACGAAGAATCACAGAAGAGTCATTGTGCTGTTTTATACAGATTATGAACAGCTGTACAGTTTCTATCTGAATGATTTTGCCAAAACGTATTATTAAGTACAATCTGATTCAAATTGATAAATTTATTTCGTTATACTGTTATTCTATATCCTTTACGCCTCCAACTACAAGCATCGGTCATTCAGTCATTCAACTCTTTTAGATATCTATTCTAGCCAACTTGTTTTCTGTAATAAATAATAGAGTATCAACATTCGTTCGAATTTTATATTGACAATTTTATGGACAAAACAAAAGTAGCATCTTCTATATACATAATATTTTTAACTTCGAAATAGAACAACGATAATTGTGATAACTATGAGTCTATGAATGTTAATTGAAATAATAATATACTTTTTTCCTTTTCCACCCCCATCGGACACATAACAGATCTTCATTGTTTACATTATACGAACTACTTTCCTTGTCATCATCTATGACAGACATGAATACATAGAGAATAGATGAAAATAATACTATGCCATTTGGACAGAAGAAGCAAACAACTGTGTACATACACACAATATCTGATATTGTCATCCTCAAGTACGCATACCAATGAAGGTATTGTTAACTTCGTATAATTTCTTCTCCTATTTGTCTTATGTGACTATACCGAGGTTCTATGCTTTAGTGGTTTATAATCCTCTTGTTAACAAAACTATATTTGGTGTCGTTCGCAGAGCAGTATGACGACCAGTTTCAAGGTAATGATCATGGCTATATGTATGACAGTACCGTATGGTATGGTGATTATCTAACATTTTGAAGACAACACACTTTTCAAGGACTTTGCTAACATAATCTTCTCTCAAACAAATGCTTATGATCTACGTTCTTAACTGTTTAATGCCACTTTCAATCAAAGATAAATTATGGTTTATTTTTGACGTTGATCAAGAAACTGTAAGAAGAAATGGTCTTCGGATACCGTGTCTCTTAGTATCTGTCATATTTTTTGCTTATGGTACATTCAGATACAATTAGATTGTAGAACATATCAACTTAGCCATATAGACATATTTTCGGACATAGTTAACATTACACTCTAAAAAAAAGTCGTAGATTAATAAACTACAATAAAAGAGTTTTTTGGACTAAAACACTGATAAAAAAATCCAAAAGAGTTTTTTAAAGGGTTTTTTAAGCCAAAAACTAAAAAGCGTTCGTGATCGTTTAGATCTAAAAATATGTCTGCATGGGTAAGTCGATATGTCTACAATCTAATTGTATCTGAATGTGTCATATAGAAAGTGTATGGCAGCTACTAAAAAGCACGATACCATTTCTTCTGATATTTTCAAGCTCATATTTATGATGAGTATCGAAAGAACTACTGAAACTCTATGATTAATTAAAACTGGAATAAATTACTTAGAAATCGTCTCTCGTTAGAATAAGTTCGGTAATGCAGTCTGAAAACTCCTTACTGAGTTTATTCGATTGTATTCTTCCATTTAAACTGCAGTATTTAAACTTATTTTCGGTTTTGATTTATTTTCATAGAAGATCCAGAAGATGCTTTACAGTTTTTAAAACGTACATTTCTTCATCCTGGTAAAACCAAATGTGAAGAACAAAAACGTGAAGCATCAAAAGCGTATGAAGAAAAATGTACTGTACTTGGCAAACGTTTCTGCCCAAAACTTGATGGTTGGTCCGATTTTAAAAATTGGGAAATTAATGAAGGTTATATTAAAAAAAGTCCATTACCAATCACAACCACAACCACAGCAACTCCTGAACTATTAACAATGAAACAAACTTATAAAACATCAATATACGAACCAGTTACTAAACAAACATATCGAACATCCATATATCAACCAGCGACAAGACCACCCATAAGACATATGTATCCTGCCAAGTATTATTCGGGTGGTCATGATGTTTATCCAGGTGTAATGTATCAGCCAATGTATCCTGCACCGTACGGCATGCATGGCGTAAGTTATCGACATCCTCGACCATCGAGTCTATTTAATATTAGAAAAAGATTTTATAGAATTGATGAAGACAATGATGATCTTTTGATGAGTGAAAGCGAATAATAATAATGACAACCATAGGTGCTAATACACTTGGTGTACATCAGTAATGTAATTGTTTTTTGATTAATTTGTTAGTAAGAAGAGAAATTTACTTTAATGACTTTTGAATTTGGAAGAAATTGAATAATTTCTAAATTTCTTCCAATTACAGTAGTACTATGTATTCTATATAATGCTTTTATAAAAACCATGCCTGTCATATGACACATAGTATACTCCAATGTGTATTTTGACATTTAATCAGCCGAATCATGATCAAAGAGTACGAGTGATCTTCAAAATATAACGTTTGATTGTAATTAAAAGGTATATTCAGCGGATTCAGAGCGCTGCAACTTTTCATAAAAAAATGCTCAATACGGCGCTCTGCCTCAAAGCTGAGTTTTCAACTGTCTGGTCAATACGTACGGAATTTACTTCGGTACCAAACATGTTCGACCTAGAAACATTATTTGATCGAACGTGTGTTCGCTGATTAATTGCTAAAAAGATCATTCATTTTCATGGAAGTATCAATACTTTTTAAAGCACATCACTTCTACTAGAAGATCACAAACTTTTGAATGAAGCAAAGTTTTATATCACTGTTATATACGGACCCTAGCCGAATGGCTCGTTTGGCGAAAAAATAATCTTATTTTTGCAATCAGTTGGCGAACACGTTCAGTCACATAATATTTCTAGACCTGGCATGTGCGGTAAGCGAACCATTCGGTGGGTGAACTATCGGATTGGTGCATGCCTGGATATGGGCAATTGATTAGTTCATCAATATATATGTAAATATATTTATAAATAAATTGTTATTTGAAATTCATTTCAAGTAAGTCCGAGCGAGGAAGACTTTCTCGTAAACTCAATGACTCCATGAAGTAGATTATTTGGAAAACAAAGGTGTGGTGGTTTTCAATAGTCACAAGGCTTTTATCCCAGTAACAAGTCGAGAAAATTGATTGTATAAAGAGACAGCATCTTGGTGAAAGTGTTAGTGCATAACAATAGTGAAACTTGGAAGATTTTATGAATTTTCCATGCAATGTGATAGACGTTTCAACTAGAATAAAATTTGCTTCGATACATCCATTAAGTAGAATAAAAATTATTTTAGTCCCCTAGTATCTGGCATTTCTGTTGTTGACCGTGCAGCTAGAGTCCATTAAATAAACATATAAATGGAACAAAGAGATATTTGGATGAGAACTGTTTACGTAACACCATTAGGAAGAATGCTGTATATTCGCAGTTCCAACGGTGTAGATGTTGCTCTATGATACAATTCTATGGTTTCAAGTTGTATATTAACAGTTTCATCGGCAGCTCGGAATTGATTTCTCCACAAAACCTGCTATATGAATCTCTGATAGTATATTTCTCGTTTTAGCATTATTCAAAATATTGAAGAGTGCTGAGTTGTCGACCTGCGACATGCTTTTGTCGTTTCCTTTTTAGGATTTTTAGCCCATTGTCTGACGTTCAATACTTAATTTTTCTACGTAGAAAGTAAAGAACTTTAGGGTGACTAAAGTATCTCCCAATGTTTGTTGCACGGATTGTAGTAATCTGGAATACGTGGTGGAAAATACGTTCCATGTTTCCGTCTCACCAACGTATTCCCCTCGACATTGCCCGCAGCGTATACAGTGGCATATGTTTTTGGTGTCACAAGTTAACAATTGTTTAATCTTGATATTACAATTAGTTTTGGTGGAGAAGTTAATTATGTTTTCACTTGAACTACCAAAACGGTAAATTTTTCTAGTACATTTCTTGAAACCCTTTAAATTATTTGTCGGTTTCGGAATGATTACTTTCAAATCGCCCAAGTGGTTAGGATGAATCAAACGATGGTAAAGGTAAATATTGTCGAAATATATGCCGAATTGTTTGTTATGTGTCATGGAAATTATTTTTCGGATATCAGTTTTTGTCCTCTCGTTGTTGACAGCGATCCTTTTCAATTTTAGTAGTTGGGTCCTAGTTACGTTTTCTACTTTGCGGATTTCAGATAGAACATTTTTAATAGGGTGACCTCGTTTGCCTAGACGTAAAATAATGTTGGCATATTCATGGCATTACTCACTTTCGTCATTGCAGATTCGTTTAATCCTGTGGGCTGGGGTTGTTGCTAAATTCCTTAAAACGAAGTCTAGGTGATCTGATTCGGCCCGTATATATTGAAATGTGTCCGTAGGTTTATTAACTAATTTAGTAACGAACCGATTACTAACAAAACCTTTATATAAATAAACATCCAAAAAGTTGATGTTATTATCTGTAAGATTTGAAATTTTGTATTTCAAGTTTTGATTTATCTCATTCAATTTTTGTAAAGAGTACTCAAAATCGTTTTTCTCATCATACCAAAGCATAAAAACGTGGTCAAGGTACCGTAAAAACTTAAGTGGTAGCTTGTCAAGTTTCTCAAATAATTTCAGTTCATTCAATAAAACAAAAAGATTTGCACACGGTGTACCCATAGCGGTGCCAAATCTTTGGGAAAAAGATTTTCCCCCGAAGTCGAAAACATTATTACCCAAAATAAATTTGAGTAACTGGACAAGAACACATCGTGTAAGCGGTATATCAGAAAATTCTTTATTCGTAAGTATAAATGCTGAAAATCTTGCAGCTCCTACCTCAATCGGAATATTAGTGTAAAGTGATTCAATATCAGTCGTAGCTAACCAAATCTTCCTTACATCCAGTTTTCTATGTTTTATCGCATTATTTATGGACTCGATTCCATTAATGGATTCTTGAGTACCACATATTACCTTATAAAAAGCACATGAGTACTTGTCTTTCGCAATCTGTGATGAACGAGTGGCAAACGGTTGTAGAATCTCGCACAGAAATTGAGATGCTTTTTCCGTGCAGTGACCTATTCCAGAAACGATAGGTCTACCCGGGCAATTTTTCTTATGAACTTTCGGTAAAATATAGAAGTTAGGAAGTTTTGGCAGTCCTCTATGGTGAACTTTGCATGTAAATTGTTTTTTTGGTATGCTACCGTCCTTAATTAACTCATTCAGTTTATTCTGTACGTGCGTATATGTTGTCCATAATGGGTTGCTATCAACTCTGGTACAGTTACGTGTATCACTTAGTAAATCAAAAGCTTTTTTCTCATACACTTCCTTAGACGTAACTACTATGCCTTGTCCTATGTTGGTTTGTTTAATCACAATATTCTTACGTTTCGACAGGTACACAAGAGCTTTATCTTGATCCCGATTCATGTCAGTGCGGAGTCATGACTTATATTGCAATCAGGATAAAATCCCGATCGACGTATACGATTATCTCGATTGGGCTACAAATCCCGATTGGGATAATTTGTCTAGCCCCCTAACTTGTACAGTCTATATAATTAATCAATCATTTTTCTGGCCTCCGCTTAACAACCAAATAAAAAATGGACAATGCCATTCGAAAGAGGATTCAAAACTGATTCAGATTCATGAGGGCCGGCAATATACATCCTTTGGCGTGTTGCGTAAAAATTCGATCAAAAATCGCGTATTTTGATCGGGATATAAAATATATCCGGAACGGGCTGTTTTTAATTATTTTAAAACACTTTCGTTTTGGAAAAAAATTAAAGCAGATTACTGAAATTCAAAACCACCATCGGATAGAGCATTCAAAACTGCATATAAGTTCATGGGGATATCCAAAGTATCGAATAATGATTATCTACTATCTATTTCAAAATATAGTGTCCGTGGCTATTGTTTGAATAACCCCAGAATGAAGAGAAATTGAAATTGAAATTGTTTTATTTTACACAAAGGTAGGATATCACAAAAAAGCACCAAAAGGACTTGTGGCATCCGGAGACACCTCATGATAGCCTAAACTAAAAAGTTTCTAAGAAGAATCGCTACTATAACACATACATTGTGAGAGAAAACATAAGTGTAATACATTTTAAGAGACAGAGTAGATCTAAACATAAAAATTATTGAAAGCCTAGATGACCTCTTAACATACGTTTAAATACAGATAAAGAAGACTGACATGCTAAAACCGAAGAAAGTTCATTCCATTCCTTTGAGCCACGTGGAACGAAGGAGCCGGATGCAGGTTTTAGCTTTCAGACAGAGACCTACAGTTTTCAGCGTTTTGTAGAGGAGGCTTTGATGCATCTTTTGTCATATGGTTTTTTTTATGAATCGGATTTTCAGGCGGTGTACCTAACATGTGAAAAAGAAGAGTTTGTCAGGTGCCGAAGGCAAAATAATTTTTTCACTAAAAACTTTTAACTTTTCACTCAAGACTTTTCAGCCTGACTTAAGACCATCGGTGGATGATCATATTTACTTTCAATACTTTTTTGAATATGTTTAGTAATATAGCCTGATCAGGATACAACCATATTTCGAACGGAATATATATCCTGGTTCGAATCTTGATTATACCCCGATCGGGATTTGTAGCCCAATCGAGATAATCGTAATTAGGGTAAATATCACGTTCGGGATATAAGTCATGACTCCACACTGCATGTTGGAATTAAATGCTTTGCTTGATTGAACAATAGCGTCCTGAATCAATATTTTGTTTAAATCCAATTTCGGATGTTTGTCAGCTATTTTCTTAATATCATCATCTAAGCCCTTAGCAGCCCTCAACGAATATGATGGAATAAACTTTAAACAATATTCCAGTTAAGCTCGTGCTTACTTAAATTAATAGACCCAATCTTAAACACATGGTCCGAAATTCTAAATAGCTCATCTGAAATTGTATGCAGGGTTCGTACTATCCACTTTCAAAAAACAGGAACGGGAAAGGATTTTTCTCCTTCGAACACCAGGAAAGTTAATAATTTTTTTTCAGAAATACAGGAAATAAGCGAATGCAGAAAAATGACAAGTGAGATTTATCACAATGTGTTAAATAATGTATTGCTAGGCATAAACTTAAAATTCACTTGACGTTATTTAAAAAATTTTATACAGCATTCAAACATAGTCATTAGGTATGTTACAAACCCAAACCCAAGTCGCGTAGGTGTATAGGCTTGGGTATTGGGTTTGCCCTTGGTCAGTTGTCAAAAGACCATTCTTCTTCTTCTTCTTCTTCAAGTGCAACTTATCAGTAGCAACTTTTTCCCACGCATGATGGAGCGCAACATAGAATAACTACGCATAAAGCATTCGGTGCCAGGGAGAACAAAAATCTGTTCTTTTTATAAAGGCTTTTTAATTTGGGAAAGTACTGTCAGCTGAAATCTGTTCTGTACATGTATTTAAGACACTGAAAAATAACGATGATATTCGCAAAATAAATAGCATAAAAGAACTCAACTTTTTTAGACATTTCATCTAATTTAAAGAAAGTTCTTATCGTTACCGTCTTGCACACATATACCCACAGGACGAAACAAACACTGCACATTCTGTTTTCACATGGACTTTCACCTTCCTCTTTTTCTATACGTACAAAAACTAGAGATGGGTGGAACCAGCCTTTTTTGCTCTCGTTGCTCCCCCGGAAAAATTGTTTGGTTCCGATTAAAATTTTGGCCATAGAACATGAAAAAATTTTCTCCTGCTGGTGGAAAGTTCAATGCGGCTTTTTACTATTGTACTGCGTTGTAGAGCTTTCTACAGCCTTACAAGAAAAAATCTGACAGTAAAACGAGTTTGAAACTCGCATTAGAATTTGATTCTACAACGAAAGTTTTACTTGTATAAAACCAGTTTTCTTGTGCCTGGTCCCGGCCCCAGTCCCGCCGGAATCGGGACCGTCGCATGTCGGGACCCGCCCATGTCTAATAACAATATCATACTTCATCTTACTTTTCTTTACTCTTCATTGCTTCTTTTTCTTTTTTTAAACTTCTTTCGTTTAGTATTTCGACATGAGTGTGTAGAATTTATACAGTCAGTCTTTATGGGGACATTCTGGTCCTGAGTGTAAACGTCATTTATGTTAGTCTTCTCTCCTCTTGGTTGACTGAAAGAAACTGAAGTAAGAATATTTCTCTAGCTGGCTGATTGGATTCACGTAAGAGACAGAGACTTTCTAACAGATTTCACCCCAGTAAACCGTAAGACTGCAGGAAAACGTCAAAATACAGGAAAAACAGGATAAAACAGGACAAATACGATTCACGTACAGTAGTGAATCATGTCAATTATTAGTAGATAAACTTCTGTTAGCCATCTTCGTGAGTTTTTGCCTTTTAAATGTGGTCACATTCTGAGCCTCAGTGATGTGTTTAGGCAGCTTTTAAATTCAGTCTGATCCTGTAATTCGCTATACAGTTGTGAAATCGTTTAGGAAACAGAAAAAAGACGAATCACTCGTAGTTTCCACGTGTTTGAATGAAGATGATACTCTACTGAGCGAGATATTTACTGAAGATTAAACTAGTGTATGTGTATTATTATTGTCACTATTTGAGGGGTCAGTAAGAGGATTGTGGGCCACCAGAATGGTCCTTCTGTGAGTCTTCTAACAGTGAGCACATTTGAACAGTGAACTGTTTTCTTCTTTTCCGTTGATTTGGTTAGTTGCATTCGATTCTTTTCTTTTCCTTAGCATGCACTTTTGCTGTTTGCTAATCGATGATTTCCCAATGAATTCTTTTGCTCGTTAAATGATTTAGGAAATTGTGTGTTTTTAGTTTGTTATTTCATTGTGATCTCTCTGCCTCTGTCATATAACGACTCGAGCAGGAATTGAACCCACGATGTAAGAATCTCTTTCTTTCTACTCTTCCCACTGGGCTATCGAATCGATACTTTTCCATCGTCATTTTTTTTGTTACATTTGAGATGATGAGGAGAAAATGAATTCTCATTATTGACTTTTTGCAAGGGTCTTCCAAAACAACTACCCAAACTAGAAAGAATTTTGAATCTACTCAAATTCATCATTACCACTGGATAATTATTACTCTCATATGACTTAAGTTATTTAAATCTTCTAATAAGAGAATAATATTCTGATTCATTCCTACTGGCTTAAGCGTATATATTACTAAAAACGTGACATACATGTCATTGTTTTCTAGAGGAACGGACACGCTTTTTATAAAGGTAAAGGTTATTAACGGTTATCATAACCTACGGTTAGTAACCGTTAACCGTAACCGTTGCATGCCTAGACCTCGCGTCTTCTCGGACTCATGGACCCCTTTGCCCAGGACGATGATTACGACAGCCGTAAACGGCCGTATAATACAGTTTACGATGATGGATATTGTAGTATACGTCAGAATACGATGACATCTACCGTGGAGAAGGATTACGACGTCGTATTTTGTCTGGAATGGGAGCGACCGTTTACGATGGGATATGTCAAAATACGACGTTTTACGACGTCGTATTTTGACGTATCCCATCGTAAATGGACGTCGTATACTGCTAATTTTCAGCCAGCTTCAACGCACTAGTTCCACATTTTTCCAGTCACCATTTTGTCATCTACGATTGATTCCACTATGTTTTACTCGGACTTTTCTTCGAGAACATAGTGCAATCAAATTTTAATGCATTCGTCGAGCAGACAATGCTTTTGTGACAATGCCTTTAGAAAGTAAAAGTCAGTCAAGCGAATATATGTTTTCGATGTCTACGTTGTAATCCATTGGTAATTCTTAATGATAGCTTAATGATAGCTAATCAAGGAATACAGTAAGTTGGGGTAATTCTAGATAGCCTCTCTAATTTTCACAGTATTTTGAGCGTACTTGAAGCATTTTTACTCGGAAAAAACGACACTTCACACGTGGATAGATAACAAACGAACTTGAAATTCATACCTTATTTATACAGCTACCAGACATGCATGCATTAGTGGCGTATTCACAACTAACTTTCAATTTCGATAGTAATTGAATCAATAAAGATGGTACATGATTACATTGCTGGTAATATTGACAGATTATGATCCAAGAGGAAGGAGACCTTTAACGGTATAGAAGTCCTTCAGACGAGAATGGCAGTTCTGTTCACTATGAATAAATCAAATGAAGAAAATAAACAAGCAACTGATAATAGTAGCAGAAAACTCTGAATGAAAATATATGACGAATAAACCAAAACTAGAAGACGATTAAGTGTGAGATATTTCGAAGCGATGTCACATAAACTAGTCTATTTTGCTGTTTTCAACTTCTCTTTATTATTTGTTCATGTTTCTTCTGCATTCACCCCAATCACCTATGACATTCTTGTAGCAGGGTACCTATGAGCAACCAAGTTAGTTGTGAATATGCCACTAATGCATGCAAAGAAGTCTTTACCACACGAGGCACTTGAACAACTTCAGTGGACAATATCAATAACACAAGTTGCAATATGGATACCAGAAATAGAAATGCAGCGGTTGTTTAGTTATTCCAGCAAAAATAATTCAATTTGTTAATATTTTTGGTGTGAAACAAACAAGGGGTGACATACCAAAGAATTATTGGACACTGAATTGGAATATGGTTGATTATTTACACATATTACACACATCTGAATGGGCTAACAGTATTCAATATGTTCAAACAAATATTGAACAAAATTTTAAGACTAGGAGTAAGTAAAAATGAAGATGAGTTGAGAGTTTTCTCTCAAAGTACTTGTGTCAAGTGGCGAATAGAAACAGTAGTAAAATAAGCGCACAGTCATTTATGTCGAGTGCTAACAAATACATTTCGTTTATTCTTTGCATCGCAATTTTACTAAATAAATTTTAGTTTAAAACCATTTTTTCCCTTACAGAAATGCTTGAGCATTGGAAACTTAAATTCACTCTTACTACGTGCACAGAGTAGTTCTTCCGAGAGTATACCAGAGTTTACATCAACTTTATGCCAACCAAAACAGACTTTCAGGACAAGTAGAACTCGCTGCCCTGAATATAAAAATCATCTTTAAAAGATTTTGTTTAACATCACCGCCTGGGGATCCCCGGACAGTGCACTGAGGATCATTCTCAGCAAAATAATTTTCGTTTACTTTATGCAGTCGAAAGTCAAAACTGTCACGATATAGTCTACTGATAATTCTGAACATTTTATCTCTGGAAGAGTCTTTTCGATGGTGTTTTAGTGGCACAAGAAAATTTTTTCGAAAAGCCGATTTCTAGCTGCATTTAGAAATCTAGTATCCAGCGTTAAGATAAAAAGAAAATCAACACTGACATGTGCGTTAGATTTATCTTTCGACACTCGATGCAACTGTATGTTTCCAGATGCAAGCTGAAGGTTCGATATGGAGGTCTTTAGAGACCTATTGCACAAATTTTACAAATTGGTGAACTGTCCGTGCAAAAATGGAAGAGTGCATTGCGGGGAACCACCTGTATTTGTGAAATAGACGTCTAGGGCTATCCAAAAAATATCAATGACCACTACTTTTCAGAAACTGGCAAAATTCAATGATATCCCTGCTATGAGTTTTCGACTTTTTAGATCTCCTTGGCCATTGACGAAATGCTATTTTTTGGACAACACTAGACGTCTATTTCACAAATACAGGTTGTCCCCTGCAATGCAGCTACCACTGTGGGGTGCCTTTCTGTAGCTTCTCTCTCAACACAATTCAGAATATATACTCTAGTTATTTTTTGTTATTCTTGAAATTGTGACAATGAATTTGTTTTTTCTCTGGTTAAGCGTCAAGACGATGATTAGTAAGCGGATGAGTGTCCTCGTCTGAAGATCAAATCACCGAATTATTTTGAGGATGTTTGCACTGTAAAGAAAATGTGTCGATTGCGCTCCACTTTGGATAAATGTGCACACTTTCTGTCACACTTTTTGTTTTTGAGTGTGACGTATATATTCTGAACTATGTTGAGAGAGAAGTTACAGAAAGGCAGACTCAAGGTCTGCGCGTAAGGTAAAGGTCAGTTTAAGTTTCCAAAGCTTGAGTTTATCTGTAACGAAAACAGCGGTTGTAACAAAATTTATTTAGTTCAAACAAGTCGGGTTTAAACATCAAAATCACAGTTTTACTTTTTATCTATTTTTAATTAATTTCTTATTTATTATCTAATTTTAATTAAATTTTAATCTGCTCGATAATTTTTTCGACTAATGATAGAATAACAAATATAAAGAATTCAGTAGAGCAGAGAGCTTCTATGCTTTGGATCTAGAAAGAATTTTTGAAACTTTATCTCATGAGCAGTACCCTGTTTTCTCTTAAAAAATGTATCATACAAAAATTTCGCTGATCTTCTATTATAAACATTTTTCTATATGAATTAGTAGCCCATAAGGCATGATCGATGCTCGAGATTTCGAATACCATTCAATTTGCTCATTCGGAATGTGATCGCAGATGCGTTTTTACCATAGTTCACTGTTTCTCGCTGAGTTTCAAAAGTGCCAGGTTTTTGTTTAGCAGATCGATAGAAAATTGAAAAAGAACTCCAACTCATACACGTTGTTTACAAAATCTGTGATGGATGTAGTTAAAGAGAATATTGTGATTTCATATACGAATGGATTTTTATAAAGGGGTTATGAAATTAGAGTAAATTCAATATTGGAAGACTATGAACGAAATTCGACAGTAATCAAGGAATAGTGTAAGTTGGGGTAATTCTGGATAGCCTCTCTAATTTTCACAGTATTTTGAGCGTACCTGAAGCATTTTTATTCGGGAGAAAATGACACTTCACAGGTGGATAGGCCGGACATTTCTCTACCAACTAATGTAAAAGTTTTCTTAAACTTCAATAAGATTAATTAGTACCCATCAATTCCCAGAGAGCTCTTATCAAATGTCCATAATTTCAACAGCAAAGTTTTACCTTTCTAACTAAAAAGTATACTATCTTGTAGAAACTTTTGAGCAGTATGTAGCGTGTAAATTGCTGGTCCTTTGAACATATCCTTGATTAATTAATTAGAAATTGCGAAAATAAAAGAATCACAAAAAAATATCACAGCCTTAGAAATCTCTTTGAGTGTAAATTGAAAGTCGTCATTTGAATAACGAGGCACTCGGTCTTTTCTAATGTATGTTCCAGGCATTAAAAAGGGTAAAGGCCAGTGTAGCATTAATGATAGTGTAAAGAATAACAGTGTTTCCTCTCCACTTTGAATTGGAATATGGTTGATTATTTACACATATTACACACATCTGAATGGGCTAAAACTGGTCTCGATTTCACAAATGCTTTCACAGATGGTCATCAGTACGTAGCATTCAATATGTTCAAACAAATATTGAACAAAATTTTAAGAATAGGAGTAAGTACAAATGAAGATGAGTTTTCTCTCGAAGTACTTGTGTTAAGTGGCGAATAGAAACAGTAGTAAAATAAGCGCACAGTCATTTATGTCGAGTGCTAACAAATACATTTCGTTTATTCTTTGCATCGCAATTTTACTAAATAAATTTTAGTTTAAAACCATTTTTTCCCTTACAGAAATGCACAGGCACTTTGCACAAGTTTCATTTTAGGGACTGATTGGTTAAACAAATACAAAGTGAATATCGATTTTAATATTGAAAGTCTCAGTATCCGCTCAAACCTGCGTACACCACCAGAGACAGCAAGAACAACATCCATATCATTTATACAGCTACCAGGCACAATCAACAGCAACCGAATTGGTCTAATAATGTGCGCAACATCCACAGGTACACAAAACGCATCATCGTCAATATTATCTCAAATTGATTCATTAGTCGAACATTTCCAAATTCTACCTGGAAAACAACAGCTTCGAAACATGCTCAAAGTTCATCATCGGTTGTTCGACACTTGAGAACCAACACCAATAAAAACATCAGTTCATCACACCATCAATACCCGCAACTATATTCCAATTCGCTCATATTTATCAAGAAGACCTCGTTCACACAATAATATTCTGCACGAAGAGGAACAATCAATGTTAAAAAAGGCATCATTCGCGAGTCGTTTTCACCGTGGTAATCTCGTCCAATACTAGTTGATAAAAATGATGGAACATAGATTTTGTGTAGACTATCGAAATATTAACAAAGTTACTATACCAGACGTCTAGCCGTTACTGCGCACAGATGACATATTAGATCAGCTACAAGGAGTACAATATTTCACCAAATTAGACATCAAGTCTGGTTATTTCCAGATACCGATTAGTGAACGAGAGAAACCGAAGACTTCATTTATTACAAGAGACGGGCTATTCGATTTTAAATAATTATTGTCATCTAGTACTTGTAACAATGGTTTTTCACCAACACAAAAGGTTCGAAATCTGTCACTACAGTTTTGGGATAATTTATTAAATAAACCGACTTTAGGAAATTTTTACATAAAGACTGGTATGATTTGTTTTTGTGCGTTCTATTATTTAAAAGTCTGTCTCAGAGCTATGATCGAAGGTTTCGTACATATTTGCCTTTTCTCTCCAGCTATCATTAAGAATTACCAATGGATTACAACGTAGACATCGAAAACATATATTCGCTTGACTGACTTTTACTTTCTAAAGGTAAAAAACTATGCTTTGTACGAATCTGATATTTTAGATGGTATACTTTTTAGTTAGAAAGGTAAAACTTTGCTGTTGAAATTATGGACATTTGACAAGAGCTCTCTGGGAATTGATGAGTACTAATTAATCTTATTGAAGTTTAACAAAACTTTTACATTAGTAGATCGAGAAATGTCCGGCCTATCCACGTGTGGAGTGTCGTTTTCTCCGAGTAAAAATTCTTCAGATACGCTCAAAATACTGAAAATTATTGACTTCGCATCTAGGTTCGCTTTATTCTCTGTATAACAGTGTTTCTCTATGTCTTTTTATTATTATCATGCCACAGCGACCATGTATACCTTTGTAATGATATTCACTCACTCTCCCTTCGCTTATGTCCTTTTGTCAGAAACAGAATTTGAGCAAATGGAAAGAACGACATTCTGCATGATATATATCCTCTTAGAGTTCATGTTTACCTTGTGTAGTATTACCTTATCAACATCGATCAGTGTGTCTTCTTTGCATTCTTTTCCACCATCGCATGTGGTCCTTGAACTTGATCGTTTTCTGAAAATCAGCCACATTTTTCATACATGTCATACAACACACATCTGAAGAGAAACAGCAAACTTCATTACAGACAAACTTCATTACAGGCTTTAACATATAAAATGTTAGAAAGAAAAGGAATAGATAAGCTTCTCGAATTAATAGATTTTACAACCAGGTTCAGATGAATGTCTAGGAGAGCGCTAAGGTTGTAATGTTGTTTTTTCACCGTTTATACAGAACAAAGAAAACGGCAATACCAAGAGGAAGTTCAGTTCAGTTGTATGAAGTTCAGTGAGAAAAAATTTTAAACCTATTTATCTTTCTTTATTGCTACAACCTCCACAAGAATACAAAAACCCATATAAAGAACGCAAAAGACATGCTTTGTTTTCAGAAGAAGTGACAGAATCGAAAAGACAACTTCTTGCAAAAGTAAAATGTAATTTTATCAATATCTGAGTCATACCAGCAAGAATTACATGTGCTAACCATGTAAAAGCATTGGGTACTCTCAAAAACTAAAACTACCTCTTTCGCGAAAACCATGGTAATATTTTAGAATCCTGCATAAAACACGCCGTTTATACCAGTCTCGCAATTGTTAAAAATAGAAAATACTAAAAGTGCACGTTTTGTTTCAGATAAATGCGAAAGTGTGTTCTCGACGGTTAAGGGCCCCGCCCCCCTCAGAAATGGTGATTTTCGGTCAAAAGATCGATTTTGAGATACGCACATAGAAAGATAGCCTGAAATGTCTACTTCCAAAATCTGTATTGTTTTTGGCTACAAAACTGGTTTTTCGGGGATTTTGAGCAAGTTTTCTAAGAGCCTCGAAAAAACGGATCTTCAAATGATGGTTTCGTCAAGATCGGATGCACGGTGTCGGAGATAATTTCTGAGCGAGGGAGCCCTTAAGTAGTATAAAATAATCATTTTGCTTAGGATTTTCCTTCGTTAGAAGGAAAAATGAAGTTTAATGGGGCAAAATGCTTCTTTTTGTATGTTTTGTTATCCCATCACCGTGTGCATTTTTCCCATGCCAGGCGGATATATCACTTTTTTGGTCAGAAACACGTCAGAGCAAAACGAAAATTTTTCAAAAGTATTTTTTTGACGAAAATATCCGTTGTCCAAGTTTTTTATAAAAACTTTTTCGTTTGAAAATGTTTATTTCATACATAATTCGATGTAGTTTTTCTCGCTGATTTCAAACTTGCAAGACATAAGGCTTGAGTCAGAACTATGACCTAAGCGAAGAATATCGTCCAAAACTCCTAGAAGTTCACAAAGCATGTATCGGGGCAGAACTTCATCCAACAACTCCATTCCAAGGCATGTGTGCACTGACGTAATTATGGTTTTTTCATCGCTTTGTTTCGTTCTTCGTTTTCTGGGTGTCAGGTAGTCGCATATACTTGACTCATGAGCATCCTTTTCTTTTTTTATTCTGTATAAGTTTTGTCTTATACAGTATCTGTTAGAACTAGTTTACAGTAGCAACTCGGTCTTAGAACCTGTTGCTGGGACACTACAGCGTTAAAGACCGTCCCAAGTTTCGATGTCCCAAAACAGTCATTGTAGCACTTGGCTGATGAGCTATGATGAATTTTGCTACAAACCCATGTGTGAAAACAGAGGGAAAAGCAACATTTACAGGCCATGTCCCAAGCGAAACAAAATTTGAAAAAACTTGAATTTTTGGTGAAAAAAATTTTTTTTTCTTGTTTTGCTAGCCTAGGCCTCGGAAATGTCCTCTTTCCAAATCTAAAAGAATTTTTTTCTATCATGTTTTCTCGCGGAGCTACAGGCCTTTTACCGGACACACCTATAGGGCAGGTCTTCCGCTACTCAATAAAAAAAACACTCGATTTATAGGTTATCGACTGTGTTGATCACAGTGCCAATGCTTATTTTACTATAGAATTTGATCTTAGTGCGGGTTTCGCTACCATCACTATTCATATGTGTTTGTAAAGCCATTTTCCCTGCACTTAGCGTGGAAATAGCTCAAATAAGAAAACAAATGCATAGTTCTACGTGATCGCTTGTATTTTTTTTCCTACGTTCT